TTCTGTATAGAGTACCACAGTCGTGTCGTCATAACGCCAGGTAGCGCCCTTTGTTGCTAACCAGACATTGGTTACCGTTCATTACACCTGAATGCCTGCATAGGCTTTCTGATATTTTACCATCAAAATGTACTAAAAACACTAAAGCTCGCATTATATTAGTTATCGAACACACATTTAATCATTAATTAAAATGTACAAAGAAAATCTAAGATACAACATCTTAATAATTACGTTAGAATTTAGGATCAATGGTTTGTCAGTGGAGAAAATGGCATCCGGTTGAACGTATTTTGCAATGATAGCAACAGAGTAGTATCAACGTGGTATCGTGATGTAACATTGTAGTACTCTATACAGAGTTGCCTACTTATTTTATGTCCCTGTGCAGTTATGCTGGGTATTCTACTGCATCTTTACCAGATGGAAATACAACGTCATGCATAGGGTCGATTACAGTGAAAATGTAATCAATTATTTTTCAAAAATTACAATTGATAATTACTTCCTTTTTTCCCCATTACACCCAATTACATTAAGAGAATGTAATGATTACAATTGATTACAATTACATCATGGCTGAGTGGGGAAGGATGCAAGCCTCACTCCCAAACAAGTTTGCTATTCTTAGGCAACCTCAACAAGTTAATGAAATGTGTACATGTTGTACTATACTAGGAGGTTGAAGAATGAAATTGAATCTACAGTAATACTTCTGCCAGTAATATGATACCAAGTCTAGGACTGGAATATCACCTCATTCCCCAGCTAACACCTCCTCACTTTCCTATTGGTACTCTAGTGGCATAGGCTGGGTTTTGTTTGCGGGTGAGCATATTGAGAATGCCGAACTAAATCCTCCAATGAAAACTTAATTGTAATTTTTAGTAATTTAACCCACTTTAGTGGAAATATTTTTCCTTCCCCAGCCTACTGTACCACCATGAACCCATGATCCCCTCCCCTTGCTAATATACCTTAGATACAGTATGCTGCTTTTGTAATACTGTCTATAGTACTTATTAGACTTAATACACTTAATCTCATGAATGATGGAAGTTGATTTGGAGAAATATGGTGTTTGTCTGGAAACCTTGGAATGAAACTCAGTTGTACTTCCAACTAGCAAATCAATATTGATCAATAATAATTCTCCATTTCTGTTTACTCTAAGTATATTTCCTGCTCCAACGGGTAGTTACTGCAGTATACAATGTTAGGCTCTTGGCTTGTAATCTGTTGTTCATTATTTGTTTTTTAGGTGCTAACTAATTTTTGGTCAAAATATAATATTTTGTACTGGAATGGCCATAGGTTCCTGTTCTTATTACAGACTTAAATTTAGAAAATGAAGAAACCAAAATCTAGTAAAAACAGGATTGAATAAAATATGAAATGATTAATTTATATATCGGTACTTGGATGGTTTGGGTGCAGTAAGATAAATTATACAAAAATAGAATATCGACCAACAAAATAACGTTCAGATTCCTTATTTATTATACACGGGTCCACTAATTATGTAGCATTATTTGACACTGATGCTCTATAAACCTAGTCGCTATGAAGCTTGAGAAGCGAGTGTCGTTGTTTTTGGTTGGGACAAAATTCTAAAGAACTTTTCATGATTAAACTTGGACTTTTGGATTGAAATGCAATCCTTACTAACAAGGCACTACTCGAAATCGACACTGTGTCAATTTATGTAATTTGTTATTTTAATATTTTTAATGTTACTTTTTGTATTATATAGTATGCTACATTTTTTTATTGTATCATATTTTATTACATTTATTATATAGTAGTAATAGGTTATTTATTAAATATTATTCAATTGTTTTTGTATACAGTAGTAAATTATATCTGCATTTATTTACAGTGGCGAGACCCAATCAAACAGAGACAAGATTATACAAGGTAAGTTGTGCTATTTCAAATTTTTTTTCGCATGCTTTTAATTGAGGGACCTGATTTTTATTGAACATGAAACTATTGAAGTTTAAATGACATATTTCGATTGTTACTATATTTCATCAGCTGTTGTATTAACAGGAAGTGTCCAGTGACAATTCTTAGTAATTTTATAATCACAATGTCTTGCAGTGTGGGACGGATCAGTCGGCACAGTGATTTGCTGTTCTTGCCGTCAACCTTGAGGGCGGGGTTCAAACCTCTCACTGTGAATTTTATTTGTGTCCTTGTTTATTTCCACCCAGGAGTATGAAGGTGCATGATTTTGTACCATGAGCACGAAGCTGTTGTGGTGACTGAAAACTATAACTGGCAAAAGACTGACTTTAAAACTGTATTAACTTATTATTCATAAAAAAACACCAGTACTAATATATAATAATACTGTGTACTGTAAAATAACAAGGTTGAATACAAACTATATTTAAAAAATTTTTAAATTCTACATTTACCATGGGACACTCCAAAATAATACTGTACCGATGGTTTAAAATTTGGTCTGATAGAAAAAAAACTGTTTAGTATTGTAAATGCACAATGAGTATTTTCATTCAAGACTGTGATTCAGTGAGCAGATGACCACAGTGCATGCTGGGAAGAATTGATTAGGTTTACGGGCTTGTTTAGAGGAATGCAAAGCTAATTAGTCGTGAAGTGTAGCAAAGCTATATGGCTCGAGCCTCCTTGGTGAATAATGTATGCTGTATGGCACCAGCCAGAGTGGCTAGACGGAGGATATAAGCTAGCCGTGCATGACAGAGCAAGTTAATGCTGAATTTCACGAAAGTGAAAATGATAACATCTGAATCGTTTTCATTTTACGAGGCTTGGGTGTTCAGAGCAGGAAATGCGAATTTTTGCTGAGCCAGGATGACTTGACTGGTACGGTACATCATGAAAAGGGGAAACATAAATATATTGATATATTAAAATTACTCTTTAAAACTACAAATTATGTCCTTGTTTCTCCCTTTTAATTATGTTTTTTGTGTGGTAAGTTCAGCTTTAAATCTTTACAAATCTTTGTGTTCAACCATAAAATAAATTAAATTACTGTATGTGATATTAAACATCTCTACTACAAGTTATGTTCCTGTGTCCTTACAATTTTTTTGTAAATTTATGCATAGGTGATTGTCTGTATAGTGTCCTTGTAACAGGACAAAACAAATTGTTGTTTCCCAAGCCCATTGGTGTTTGAAAATCAAGGTTGGCCATTCCGATTTTTACATTTTTTAAATATGGTTAAGGCCAAATTTGGGTTCGTTTTCAACCATCACTCACTAATATGCATTTTATTTTATTTTATTTTATTTGATATCAAATTGATTAATTAAAGATTGAATTATAGAAATAGCTGACCCTTTTCGTTATGGATTTTTTCAGGTTTGGGCACCATGGTCTAGTTATGGAAGAACAATATCTTCAGGCATGGGAAAAAACATGAAAATTAACTTATACTTTAATATGCCTCCATTGCCAAATGTTTTCTGTATAGTCTATGTGGAGCAGCAAAAATAAACACAAAAAAAAAAATAATAAAAAAAAAAAAAACTTTGTTTCAATTATCTAAAAATTACCATGCTAAAATGCTATAATAAAGTATGCAATGTCCTCAGCATTCAGAAAAGCCAACAAATTAAATTAAAAGATTAAGCAAATAAAATAACAAATTGATTCTCCCCCCCCCCCCCTTTTAAAAATGCCTCTGGGGAGATGCGGTACATCATGAAAAGGGGAAACATAAATATATTGATATATTAAAATTACTCTTTAAAACTACAAATTATGTCCTTGTTTCTCCCTTTTAATTATGTTTTTTGTGTGGTAAGTTCAGCTTTAAATCTTTAAAAATCTTTGTGTTCAACCATAAAATAAATTAAATTACTGTATGTGATATTAAAAATCTCTACTACAAGTTATGTTCCTGTGTCCTTACAATTTTTTTGTAAATTTATGCATAGGTTATTGTCTGTATAGTGTCCTTGTAACAGGCCAAAACAAATTGTTGTTTCCCAAGCCCATTGGTGTTTGAAAATCAAGGTTGGTCATTCCGATTTTTAAATTTTTTAAATATGGTTAAGGCCAAATTTGGATTTTTTCAGGTTTGGGCACCATGGTCTAGTTATGGGAGAATAATATTTTCAGGCATGGAAAAAAACATGAAAATTAGCTTATACTTTAATATGCCTCTAGTGCCAAATGCTATCTGTATAGTCTATGTGGAGCAGCAAAAATAAACACAAATAAAAACAACAAATAAAAAAAAAAACTGTGTTTCAATTATCTAAAAATTACCATGCTAAAATGCTATAATAAAGTATGCAATGTCCTCAGCATTCAGAAAAGCCAACAAATTAAATTAAAAGATTAAGCAAATAAAATAACAAATTGATTCTCCCCCCCCCCCCCCTTTTAAAAATGCCTCTGGGGAGATGCGCAGTGCCTCTGACATCAATGCACCTTTTCCAGCCCTATATTATTTTGCAGGGTGCCCAGTAAAATATAACAGTAATAGTAATGTTATTGAAGAAGTGGATACAGTTAACTAGACAGATGTATTTTCAGCCATTGTTTCAAGTCATGAGTATTAATTGCTTTCATAATAAGGATATTGTTATTGAATGCATTGGTCATACTGACTACTGAACGTAAAATTTCCCAGGGAGTTGGCACGTTGTAAAGTAAAATATAGTGCAGTGTTTCTCAATAATGAAAACACTACAGGATAGCAATTTCCCATCTCAGAGCTACAGCACACAATAACACTGTGAAGAAATAGCACATTATCTACTGCTCCAGTGTGCAATGTAATTAAATAATAATCAATTGAATGTTAACCTGATTTTCTTTTTAATTAGATTGCCTTGACTGACTGTACCCAATATTATTGTTAATAACATTAGGCGAGATTTTGTTTATGGCTTGTTTAGCGAACCCATCCACCCCGCTAATACCGTAATGATGATTTTGAATAAAAAACAAATTTTATTCAGAAAAGAAAATTAAAGTTTTCTTTATTTTTATTAGGCCAGCGCCTGCCTTGAAATCTTCAAAAATAAGATGTATTTCTTCCTAATTATATTTTCCTAATTTTAACCATCCCATTACTACACTGTTTACATTCACCAACTTTATTTTCTCATCCATCTTGATGTTTTTTGGCAAAACTATTTGCTATACTGTATAAGAAAACAAAATTTTAATTAATTTTTTTCTGGCCTTCTCTGACAATCTTTAAAAAAATATGTTCACAGAACAAGGTATAAAAAGTGTCTCGCCTTTAGCAGAAATGAAATACTATATATTATAAATACAATCTGTAAGAGCTGTGTTATGACCAGTCGTCTTAGTTTCCAGCTCACACGTAATTGTCCTATTTGGTTAACCCATAAATAACTTCAAGAAATTAAATCACATTTTATTTCTCAAAGATATGAACAAAGCACTGTTTATCTAGACAATTTAATGATTATTTCTGTTTTTTACTACAATTAATTATTTTTAAGTTGTTACTGTTGCTTTGTCTGCCCCCTCCCTCTCTTCTCCAACCTGTCACACAGATCTCTCTGACAGTTATTTGACTACAGAGTGTTTGACAATTTTCAAATGTATTCTTTAAGTAGAAGATGTTCCATACAAGCTGTGATAAGCCAATATACCAGAAGCATTCTCTCAGAATAAATGTCAGTACATAAAGTCAATCAGTACTTTTATTTTATTATTATATTATGCCTTCATTTACAGCCTTTAAGACAACTGATTTCATTTTTAAAATTTAACGTAATAAGAATTTGCTTTTCCCACAGGTCAGCTGGATGTACCATTATCAGAAGAAGGAGAGTGTCAAGCCATACATGCAGGAATGTACCTCAGAGATGTGGCCTTCAATAAGGCCTTTGTCAGTGACCTTAAACGTACTATGCAGGTATGAACATTCAACATACCACTAAAACAGCCAATGCATTATATCACTTTAAACTCAATAACAAATTCTTTAGGACTTTTTTAAATCCTTGTTTTTTTTTTATTTCAACAAACACTTTGGTATTTATTGATATGGTACATGCTTTTACAGAACTTTTCATGTGTAATGAGTTTCAATATTTTGATTAGGAGAAAAGTGAGGGTTGGGTCTTTCTCTATGGTTTTATGTGGTGATGTAAAAGAGGATAGGGTCCCGGTGGGATCAAAGTGGCCAGGGTACCGGTTGGAGTGCAAGAGGCAGTAAGGAGAGGATTCTACTAGGACTGAAAAAGGCGATAATCCTGGTATGGATACAACAAAGGGTACCAGTGAAGACTATTAAAGTAGGTGGGTGGGGACGCAATAAACTATGGTAATCACCAAGTGGATATGCAAGAGGCTATATTAGAATCTTGAGAGTGAGAAAGAGTAAGGTGCTAAGGGGAAACAGATCTGGGTCCAGAGATGGTGAACAGGAGCTTGAATAGCTCTTCTATTGTATATTAAAATTGTGTTGAACAGTACATAAATTGATTTTTTTTTAATGGGGTACTTACTGTAGCTGAAATGTAACCATTGCTATTATGTTAAGAATGTCAATTTATACAGTTGGGAATAAGGTATAATTATTCCTGTTCCAAAAACCAGAGGATTCATTAATTAGTCTTAAATAAAACAAAAAGACAGTAACTCCGAAAAGAGACAGAGACATTTTGAGATTCAACGTTTCGATCTATATGATCATTTTCAAGAATACTGATGAGAAAATCTCATCCATCCATACATGTCTACAATATTTACAGAAGTATAACAGAAAGAAAAATAAAAACCAACCAATCAGATTAAACTCAAAGTTTTAACTAGCCAATTAAAAACGAGGTAATTAAAAATGAGGTGCATCTTACATTAAGTATGTCACTTGTTATTGTGAATAAACAATGAATAATCAACAATTATTCAACAATTTTAATTATTATTCCTGTTCAGTACTGGTAATTAATTAACAATGTCACCATTCAGGGCGAGTCCAGTAGATTGAACATCATTTGTTAATGTTTACAAAATATTTTTGTATTTTTTAGACAGCAGAGATCATCAAAGCAAATAGTCTTAAACAATTTAACATTCATCAAGATGTACGACTAAGAGAAAGGGTAAAAGCTTTTGTTTCTATTATGTGTATGCAATATTTATAATATTAATAAACAACAGATAAAGCAGGTTTGCACCACAGATTTTAGAACCTGTGCACTAAAGCAAAGTACTGAGCCTGTGTATGTGAAAAAAATAAATAAATAAATAAAAATAAATAAAAAATTTTAAAAAATTTTAAAAATAAAAAATAAATTTAAAAGCATTTTACGTACCATATTCACATAATATTAATCCAATATATTGATATTGTACAAAATATTAGGAATCAGGCAATTATATTATATTAAGCAATTATAGTCAGGTTTTGAGTATATTATAGGAAATGGAAGCCGAAGAAACCATTATTTTCTGAAAAAAATGTTTGAAGAAAATAATGGCTCCTAAATGCTTCTATTTCTTTAGTGTACGAAATTACTTGATTATAATTGCTTTGTAAGTCAGTTGTGACGTCTGTCTCCTTTTCTATGGCCCTCTAATCTAACTACTGGTTGTAGAGCAGTTGCTATATTGAAGTTTACAGTATAAGGGGTTATTAGGTAGCTCCCTAATCTTCTAGTAGACATTTCTTTAATAGATTAAAATGTATTATAAACATTATTATTAATTATTTCAGTGTTGCCTTATTTGTTCATATCTTTTATAAGTCAATCACCTTGTTATCTCATAACCACTATGCCTTTCTATGCCTTGCCTATGATGGTCTAGGCTTCGTTAGTGTTAATCAGCGCCATAGCGAGATATGTTAGGTTCGCTGTGTGCGTTCATAGCTTGGCCAGCAATGAAATATTCCATCACATACTTTAGTAAAATCACCCCAGCTTTGAGCTTTTTGCACATGAGACGCAAAAAATTGAAGGCACTACTGTATATCGAAGTAGTGATCAGTCGGGATAGGAAAATTCAGTTATGACGACACTACTGACTTATGATTTTGATTATTTGAATGGTTTTGTTTTCACAGAGTTACGGACAAATGGAAGGGAAGTCATTCACCATTCTAAAAGACGCATCGGAGAAGGCGGGTATCAAATTAAGGGATTACACTGCACAAGGTGGCGAATCACTGCCAGAGGTAATTACAAGTGTCGTTGAATTTATGTTGGATTATGTTTCTGAAGAGTGTAGGTCACATTAGAGCCGATAAAATGACAGTGATAACAGCAATGACAAACTTTGTATTCCTCTGATTTAAATAGAATTTTCAATTTTTGTTTTTACAAAAAAAATTTTTCAACGGAAAATTATTTTTAATAAATTAGATTTTTGACAAATGGTATGCATACTTACAAAAAAATTTATTTATATCTATTTGTTTCTTTATTTCCACATATTTTTTAAGGGGTGTCTATCTAGTCCGAGTTGATCAAGTGCGATCCTTGTTACGTACAAAACTAACAAGAAGACGATATACAGTGAATGCAAACTAAAGTCTTTTGATTAACTAACAAAATTTAGTATTTTGTAGCAGCATACGCTGAACACGAACCATGCCATTATTAGATATATATTTATCTGTAAAAGTATATTACATCTAGACCTACATGAAATTGGTGCACCCTCGTTTAAAAAATTATGGATCTGCCCCAGATCTGTGATATGACATCGTCATGCTCATCATAGCAAAACCACAGGTATTTTTCACAAACTTGATATTGTGGACAAATCTCCAGAAAGAAGAGATAGGAAAAGCTATTAAGGAAGGGAACATTTTCTGAATCAATTTTGCAAGATGTAGACGTGATACTGTATATTTGTGACATCTAGATGAGTTCTTAGTGATTTTAGGTGATGTCTTGGTGGTTTTCCTTTTTGTTGTTATGTAGTCCTGTTCTAAATTATGGACTTTATTTATTTTCAAAATATGAAATTATAATAACAGTGGATCTCCGCTTCATGCCCTTCTGGTTCTATGTCCTCATGACCCAGGCCCATTTTTTAAGGTTTATTCCTGTAATGATTAATCGTTAATGAGTGCGTCAGATTGGCACTGTTAAGTCTCAGTCTAGAAAATCTCAGTGGTGCATGCTTGGCACCATTCCAGGCTATTTACTGTGTGTGTCCTGTAGGCACTTTCAGTTAGTTGTACAGAGCAAACATAACAACTTTAAATATATATCATACTTCCTTTTGTGCTGCAATTCAAGGTTTTACGGTATCAAAATAATCTACATTTCACAATTTTTTACAATTAAAATCCTTAAATTGATATTAGCCTGGAAGTTTAAAGGTTTTTGCAAAAGTATATAGAGCAGTACCTGTAGTATTTATGTGTTCGGAATTGTCCACCAGTGTGCTGCTCATTTTACACCAAAAGGACTTCCTATGGTTTAAAAAATCCTAAAAATTTTGAGATAAGTTGAACCCAGAACCCAGGATTGGAAGGCTGGTAAGCATCTGAACCACCCAGGCCACACTCCAGACATCTAAAAACAATAGTCATATATATATATATATTTTTTTTTATAATCGTTGATTTTGAAATTTGCAAAAAACGACACGACGCAAAATAAAATATGTAAATAAGTGAATAGACCTTTTCGCTAAGCGCATCCTCTTTGATATTTTTGCAAAGGTCCCACAAAAGAAGTGTAAAAACATATGCAAATACATGCATTCGTGGGACAATGCATGTGATTGTGGGAAACGCATGTACTCCTTGCCCTGTTACCTGTTTTTATTGTTCAGTTTTTAATGACAATGCAGAAATGTCCACTGTAGTGAAGACAAAGATGTTATAATCCACTTGCACCTTGACTTTAGCTCATGTTGTCCGCTCAACATACTTAGGTACAACTTTCTTTGTGGTTGACTTATTAATAAACAAAATGTCCATTTCTTTCTCATTTCAGGTACGCTTCAGGGCCACACAGTTCTTCCACAATTTGTGCCAAAGCACGTTACAGATGTTGAAAGCCGAAAAACAAACGAGGGAAGCCACTAACGGTAGCCCTACCAATTCGAGCAGGAGCCGCTTCTACAAATGGACTCGTTTTGATAAAGGAAAAACAGGAAGCAAAAGCCCTGATAGCCCAAAAGAAAAATACCTCGGTTTAGCCGGTAGGTTAGATGCCAGTGCATGTCTAGGATGTTGGGGAAAGAGGGAAAAAGATAAAGAAACAAAAGAGAACCAACTGGTATCAACACAAAGGACTAAAAATGGCTGTGAAACGGCTGGGAGCCCCGATAGCAACAGAGAGGATTACAACCCCTTCTATTTGACAAAAAGTGCCGCGCAGAGTCCGAACGGAGAAAATATCCTGATTGTCAGTCATGGGGTTCTGTTGAAGGAAATGATACGTTATTTTGTAGAGGATCTGAACTGTATTATTCCCGGCGGGAAAGGAAAAGCATTACGAACAAGCCCTAACACAGGTGTTTCACAGTTTATGGTACATATAGGTGATGATGGACAGGTGTTGCAGGTTGAGTGCCTTATGGTTCATAGCATTCAGCACCTACCAGGTGCACATAAGTATTGTTCCGCACAATCAAATGGTAAATGACATCATACGGACCGATGCATTCCACAATGTACGAGACATCTTAGTACCGTGTTGAATTATACTTAACACCAAAAAGTATGTTCATAAAGACATTAATATTGAAACTGGTACCTTTTGAGCAATAAAGTTTTTAATGCCAAGATCTATATCAATTTATACGTACATACCAGTACAACAGTATTGATTGTATTTATTGCAAATAAATATAACTTTTTAAGCTGGCATGTACTAAGATGATATTTCAACATCTGTGTATTCTATATAAAGCATGATATGTAAAAACAGACAAATACAAAGATTTATATTTGACAAGATGGGTTTTGATGTTTCTTTTTTATTATTGGCTATTCAATCAGAACTACCCGTTTTCGTGTTGACCGAGCTATATTTTTAAAAGAAGACATGTTAAAATATGGCAAAGATTAATATAAGATACTCTATGGGTGTAGGCTGGGAACCCATTCTCCCTACTAGGAAACTAGTTCCACTAAGGGGTCATTTTCACAAGTGTACAAACAGTGCTCTTTTTCAGTATCCCCTCCTTCCCTTCTGAAAGTGTACATACAAAATGTTGTTTTTGCAAAACTATTCTCCATTTTTTGTGAAGTCAGCTAAAGTACTGGAATTTTTTTACTTAAAAATGTATATTATATTCATGGTTGCATTATAGATTGGTTGTAAAAATCTATTATTTTAAATAATGCATGTTATTTTGGACCAACAATTTTATGCATGTGTAAAAGTGTACAAATTTTTCTTTCCCCCTCCCCCTAGCACACTGTTTGTACAGTAGTGATAGTTGTGAACCACTCCTAAGTGGGTTTAAATACTAAAAATGACCATTAAGTTTTTTATTGGATATGGATTCCATTCCGCATTCTGGGATTTAGTTTGCATTCTCATTTTTTGCATCCCCAGACCGAAACCAGCCTATTCCCCTGCAAGTATACATTATATTTTTCCTGATGTTTAGCACAATACAAAAGTTTAAAAAGAATTCACTAAAATGTACACAAGAGGTTTCAATGCAAGAATATTCATTATACTAATTAGTGAATATGATATAGTCCTGAAGGACAAAATAAAAAAAATTTAAGGAAAAAAAAAACCTAAATACCATACACAATAAAGAGTACCGGTTTGGCTGAGTTTAATTGAACAATACCATATTTAGCTTTGATGATGAGCTCTTAGAAACACTTGGCTGATTGATGTTTTTTTTATCTCTACTGCCCCTGTTTTACTACCCACATGAGGCTGATTGATTATTAGATCTTTTTTAGATCTACTGCCTCTAATAGGAGCTCTAGAAACACATAGGATAGCTGATTGATTAATAGATATCTTTTAGGTCTACTGTCTCTATTATACTGCCCTCATTCCATACATTCCTTGTTAGATTCATATTAACCAGATAATCTGCACTCCTGGAGTTATGTACCCTGGGCTGAAAATTTATCAGCAACTAGAATTCTAGATGAGTGGGATTCTAAACCAAGTTCCCCTACCATACTGCTCAACCATTCAATTGGCAAAACATTTCTGGAGGCTTCGATTAAGGGTGAACACACAGAGTGTTCCACTTTTAATATTACAAAGTTTGGAGTGTGGAGCAAACACACCTATTTGACTTCTTGTAATATTAGTTTTATCTATATAGTTGGACATAAAGTAAACTTCCATCCAGGATCTTAAATTCAGCTACAAACAAAATAAAACAGAAAGCAACAAAATAAAGATTCCAATAATGTTCTATTTATTAATACTACTGCTTACTTGTAAAACTCAATACTAACTACACTAATCTATGCAAGCATACATACCCAAGTTCCATATTCCCAACCACAGAAGCCACTAATGGACTGGTTGCCTAGACAGTTTTTCTTTAAACAATATATTACACCATATCGCTACATATATAATCCAACAGATGTGAAAATTAATAATAATAATATTTACAACTAAGTGTCGGAGCGCTTTTCCACATTGTTACCTCAGTCATTTACGATAGCCACGAGATCTACTGTATATACTCGAGTATAAGGCAACCCACTTATAACACGACCCCAGTCTTATATGCAAGTATATAATGGTACTAATTGCAAAGTGCTAAATACATATATTTTAAAATTTTCACGTATCAGAGTGCTTCCAATTACAAGTGGAGTTGAATGGCTTGCTGTTAAAGATGCTTGCCTTGAAATACTGTGCTCCTGGGTTAAATTCCAGTAACAGCAGGATTTTTTTATTTTTTTTAAACCACTCCACTCTACTCTCCAGGGGTGGATCCAGAGATGTCCGAAAAGGAAGGGGGGGGGGGTGTGTGTTGCGCGCGATTGAGACAATATTACACTACAATTTTTTGTTTTCTAAACGTTCCGAAATAACCTTTCAGGCGCATTGGACAATCATTTCTTTTTCTTTCTTTTTTGACTTCCAATGAAAGGTTGGGGGGGGCCCACGGCAAGTCCGCCCGTGTTGTTATTATGAGACTTGGTTTTTAAAGCATACCTGGGCCCTGTGAGAGGACAGTAGGTATTTACTGAACACAATTCAGTATAAAGAATATTAATATTTTAACACTGTATACTGTAGTACACAATTTGTAATTTTGGTCACTGGAAGTATTTCTAGAGATGCATAATCAGCATGGACAATACATGATTCTAAAAACTCTTGAAAAAGCCTTCTTCCTTCACATATGGGATGAGGGAGCTTTTCTTTAGCCTCTTGGAAAGGTCATTTTCATCTACAGCTTTGAAGGGGCTTCTCCCTCCACACCTTAGAGGGGCAGTTTCTCCCCAGCTTCTTCAAAGCGCAAGCCTGCGTCCTTCCTTTTATATCAGCCATTCTGAAAAATGAATGAGTTCAGTTATAGAAACACTCATTCGATTACAGTAGAACCTCATTTTTACGTACCTCTGTTTTAAGAACACCCATTTTATGTACGCCACCTATGGATGATGAAGTCATCAAAAAAACCAAAAAATACTCAAAACATCAGCCCTTTTCACGGCCACCATAATGCAAAAAGAGATTTGTTAGTTTCTGTGTATTTTATCTCAATATCGTAACAATAAACAAACCATTTATACAAAGAATTTTCTACACAAAGTTTACTAAGCTGGATAGCCATAATTTTGCACACAAACTCTAACTGCTAGTTTCGCCCAGTGCATGTAGTTTTAGTTCATCATGCCCAGACAACACCGCAGCCCTGCTGTTTAGAATAGTCATTAAGGGGAATTTCCATGAAGTTACAGGCCTGTAGGAAGATTTTCGATTTGGGTATTGTTTAGGGACTTAAAGCATTGGCGGATCCAGGAATTCGAAATTGGTGGGGGGGGGGGAGAGGGAGGAACTTTCACAGATGGATGGTCTATACCATAAGAAAAAAAATAAAATGATTATGGCACCTCATTGGCGAATCCAGGAATTCGAAATTGGGGGGGGGGGGAACTTTCACAGATAGATGGTTTATACCATAAGAAAAATAATAATTATCGCACCTCTACATGGTTGGAAATGACACTCTCAGATCTAAATATAATAATAATTTTTTTTTCCCATTTCTTTCCTTGAATCTGCCCTGTGAAGTTGTAACTTTTTATGTCCTGTAACATCTGTAGGCCTACAGATAACATGGATCAATCTGCAATCACTGGAGCTGATAATTTCCAACAGAGGCCTGGAGGGGGTTTATGGGAAAAGCCCTGGGAGGCTCCAACAAAGTAGCACTTTGAGGGTCTTATATAATGGATTTCTTAAACACATAATTCATGAATTCAAATCCATATACACATTCAAAAAACTCATTAAGAACCACTATTTACCTTAACTTCATAATATATAGTTTAAATTTTATGATGTCAATTTTTGTTGAATCTTACTCTCATGTTTTGAAAATGTATATTTATTGTATTGTTTCCTCATTGTTCTATTATTATTCTGTAATTTTTGTATTCTCATTTAGGGACCACTGTGGAAATAAGTTGCTTTTTGTACTTTTCTGTGTTTTTATCCTTGAATGTTTTGACTTATAATTACTTCAGAATGAATAAATAAATAAAAATTTTTTAAAATATTTTATTTAAATTTTCATCAATTTTGGTGTTTTTGGGATCTGAAGAAGTAACATTGTCCTGTACATCTGTAAGCCTACAGATAACATTGTTCACATTATGGATCAATCTGCAATCACCGGAGCCAATCAATTTCTAATAAATTTCATACCACATTTTAAAAAATCAATGGTTAGAAAAGCTGGCAAAAATATAATGCAATGCATGCTATAGTATTTTGTGATAATTAGGAACAATTTACAGAAATAATAGGTTTAGAAAAGTGGACCTTTTGGAACTTGGGGGTTGTGTCCGCACCCTCTGCCTACGGGCCTGATTTATACCTTTGTCGTATAGGTAATCTTACAATGTATTGAACATTTCAAGCCTGAATGCTTAGCACTGTTATTGGTCAGTTGTTAAGTTTTGGAAAGGTCTATTTGAATGGGAAGCTGCAATGATGGCTTTTGTGAACAAGGAACTGAAAAATCACAGAGAAGTATGAAGATATAATTACCTTGCAATGCATTGTTAATCATGATTGACACTACATACAGTCCAGATGTTCACAGGTGTTTTGAACTTAATCATTTTTTTTTCAAAATGATAACGATTGTTGCACCTTAGTAGTTTCTGTATTACCAAACTGCACCTGTACTCCTAGAAGAGAGGTAACCTGCAAGATAATAATCATATCAATCATTATTTTCATCTTCCATCATCAACAAATTTCACCTGAATTTATTCATCCATTATTCTTAAAACAGTACATTAAATATTTATGTACTATATACTCATTTTTTCATTCTTTTTTAATTGGCCATTTATTATATATATTTGGCACAACATTTTAAGATAAACAACACTAAAAAAAAAATTATTATTTAATTATTATTATAATGTACCAGTGTAATCAAAGATGTTCATATTGCATACATTTCATCACACAGGCAACAATATTATATTGTATAATCAACTTCACTGTAATATTAATATTACTTAATTAAGTTCAAATACAAAACAGCAACCAAAGAGAAAAGACTGAAAATATGTATAAAATGTCAAACAAAAGCAACCTATAATAAAATACAACCAATCATTGACAGCTGAAAATTACAAACATCAAATCCTTGTACTCATAAATAGCCTATATTATATATGCTAAAAGGTCACTGAATAAAATTAACCATGCAATACTAGTAATAAAGACCTACATTGAAAGAAATAATATAATTGAAAATAACAGACAAAAGAGTAGATTGCAAGTGAACAATATATAATAAACACCGAACAAAAGTTCTATAAAATATTCAACAACAGATTTCTCAAGTTCGTAAAATGCATTTCCATAACTATGTCTTCAGATTTCCATAGTAAACGAAAAATATCTATAGCACCACAAAATAATTTGCCTTGAGTGCAAGATATAAGTATGGAGTTATAATTACTTTGAAAATGGGCTCGATTGTCTTTGGGCAGATTGTCTATCATTTGATGTGGAATTTCAAAACAAACAGAACAGGACGAAGATTTTCAGGTCATTTTTTCTGAGTTTTCACAACAATTTATCAGTAATCCGACTATTGTAATAGTTGTCTACGGACAATGTAACCAAAGATCCTGATGGAAAAGTTATTTGTTCTGGACTTTAAGACTTATTTATTTATTGGCCTAGGGCTATGATAAATTTCCGTAGTATTTTCGTCAATTTCCATACATCCGTATTTAGGCAAAATTTCTGTAGAAAATAGGCCTAACTACGGACGTTCCGCAGTACTTGAGAAGTCTGCAAAAAAAGTCTGGTAAAACGTAGTAATGTGCAGTAACTATGATGAATAATAGAAACAGGATTTTTGGAATCTATGAAATCGCAACTAAAAATATGACAGGCCTGTAAAACAAATGACAAACCTGCTTGAACTTTGCCCTGATTTGACTCAACTTTTGCATGTAATCACTCACTGTTGGGTCCGATACTTTTAAACTATGTAACATGGTGAGCAGTGATTTAAGAGCTTTCAATTTCCTGAAATCATCAACAAGGATTATTGAAAATGTATAAAAATATTTAACATCATATTGTACACAAAACATTATTTCATTTAAAAAAATTAATAAAACAGTTGTCATATCAAATAATAAAATAATAATGCATATATACATAAGTTGAACAAATATCGCTTGATTTTTCACTCTCATAATAAAAGGGAATATGTATTAAATGACCTAAAGAGTGAATATAGCAATCCACAAGAATAGTGTTGAATATTTTGTCGTATCAATGACACATCAGCAACTGAGACAGGAATTAGGCAGGCCAGGTCTTATATATACTGTGCTAATAAGCAACAGGTGTTGGAAAGTATTAAGGGAAAAAAAAAAAAAAAAAAAAATCAAGTAATAAGGAAAGCGTCACTAAGCTCATTCTAACGGTTTATAGAGGGCCTAATGCGATTGATACATTGTGCTTCCAACACACGAAAGCGCAATTCATCTTTGGGCGCTCTTCTGACGATGGAAACCAAGATTGAGTATTGGTAGGAATCCATCTGCATCAGGTAATTCCATCTCAAACCTGATGGTGGGATGTTGAGCATTAATATGTTCAAGGAGGAGATGCACGTGATTAGTGTCTTTGACAATAACCCCAGTGTCATCCACATATCTGATGTAAACAATAGGTCTGGGTATGGGGCCCATATAAATAGAAGAGCGTTTTAACCTATCAAGACGGAGAATAGCAAGGGTACCACCTGTCTCTTATACACATCTAGATGTGTATAAGAGACAGGCTTGAACTTTGCCCTGATTTGACTCAACTTTTGCATGTAATCACTCACTGTTGGGTCCGATACTTTTAAACTATGTAACATGGTGAGCAGTGATTTAAGAGCTTTCAATTTCCTGAAATCATCAACAAGGATTATTGAAAATGTATAAAAATATTTAACATCATATTGTACACAAAACATTATTTCATTTAAAAAAATTAATAAAACAGTTGTCATATCAAATAATAAAATAATAATGCATATATACATAAGTTGAACAAATATCGCTTGATTTTTCACTCTCATAATAAAAGGGAATATGTATTAAATGACCTAAAGAGTGAATATAGCAATCCACAAGAATAGTGTTGAATATTTTGTCGTATCAATGACACATCAGCAACTGAGACAGGAATTAGGCAGGCCAGGTCTTATATACTGTGCTAATAAGCAACAGGTGTTGGAAAGTATTAAGGGAAAAAAAAAAAAAAAAAAAAAATCAAGTAATAAGGAAAGCGTCACTAAGCTCATTCTAACAGTTTATAGAGGGCCTAATGCGATTGATACATTGTGCTTCCAACACACGAAAGCGCAATTCATCTTTGGGCGCTCTTCTGACGATGGAAACCAGGATATCGGGGTCTTTCACGGCAGGATGAGATTCACCAAAGTTTGCGCCGAGCGCAGAGGCGGTGCTGTGTTTACGAGCCGAAGCGAGATGTTCAATCACCCTAAAGTGAAGCGCCCTGATAGTGGAACCAACATATTCGTAAGATGAGCAGATGTTGTTTTTTAAAGGACATCGGACTAGGATACATCCAAGATTAGGCTTACGAGCTTTAGTAAATTGAGAAATGGTGTATGGACGGGGATTAACCACTCTAGCATTGATGTTATTTCGTTTAAGGGCTAACCGTATCTGGGTATTAAGTTGATCGCTGACAAAGGGAATTTTAAGGGTGAGGTTTGTAAAACCCCGAGATTTATTCGCAGTGTGAGCGGGAGGGTTCAACCAGTGGCGGGGATATCCATTGTTCATAAGTTTATGGTTTAAAATCCCAATCCCTTCGTCCACAAATTCTGCTGTACATACAGTAATTTACCAATTCTTTTGTATTCATTGGTAACCACTGCTTTTTTTAATGAAAAGGGAATGGTGCGATTTGTAATGCAGAATGATACCTTTGTTGGCCGCTTTAGTGTAAAATTTGGTGGAAATCGATCCATCTGAATTGATCCCAAGTTTAACATTGAGTATTGGTAGGAATCCATCTGCATCAGGTAATTCCATCTCAAACCTGATGGTGGGATGTTGAGCATTAATATGTTCAAGGAGGAGATGCACGTGATTAGTGTCTTTGACAATAACCCCAGTGTCATCCACATATCTGATGTAAACAATAGGTCTGGGTATGGGGCCCATATAAATAGAAGAGCGTTTAAACCTATCAAGACGGAGAATAGCAAGGGTACCACTGAGGCTATTTCCCATTGCTAAGCCTTGTATTTGTTGATAAAAATTGTCAGCATGCACAAATGTTGTTGGATGTTGTTATCCAATCAAAGGTGTAAAAGGTCTGAAAGATCGGTGAGTGTAAGTCCGTATTGTTCAAGTTTGTGTTGAGTGGCATACTCAATGGCCGTTTAAATTGCCTCACCAGTGTCCACGTTCGTGTATAAAGATACAACGTCGTAGGAGACAGAGAGTTGGGGGGTATTGTTGATGTGTGCGGAAACATGTACCAGGAGAGGGCTCAAAATAAACTGTAAGAGCCAACTAAATCTTTCGAAGATGGCTCTACAAGCTGATACAGTAGGTCTGATGCTAATGGGATTTATGTGGGTTTTAGGGAGTGTATAAAATACTTGGGTCCTAGCTGTAGGGGGTGTAGTGAGACGGTTTATGAGGCTTGATGGAAAATTTTGTTTATAGAGTACGTCCTTTATCATGTGGTTTATTTTAAGACGAAGTTTGGGTGTGGCATCCCTGTCAAGCTTTAAGTATGTTGTGGTGTCAGAGAGATCATTTCATTTTCTAATCGAAGAAGGTCCTGTGTATGCATGATCACTACTTCCCCTCCTTTATCACTGCGGGTTATAGTGATATTATCAGTGTCACGAAGGTCAGTTATAGCCCTCTTCTGTTTCTGTGAAAGATTGGGAGTGTTACTGATTTTTGTTTTCTTAATAATGCAGGAGATGTCTTGTTGAAGGTTACGAAGTGATGTCTCAATGTGTATGTCGGTATTATTTTTAGGAGGAGCAATGCGTCGATGGTAAAAATGGCATGCAGAGGATATCATATTAAGGTTGCGCGCACTCCGTGTTTGTGTACCGGTATGCATAGAAGACTGTGTGTTGATTGCGGCCTTCCAGCGTACAGAGTAGGCTAAAGCTGTGACCTCAAGTTGGATAGCTTCCACCAGTTCAGGTTTTGATATGTTGGGTGTATATGCGTATATAATTTATAACAATTATACTAATTCGAGACCACCTTAGGGACTTGAATATTTGGGGTAGTCTCATCTCCAATGTCAATGAGGGTTAGCATTGTGTTAAAAGATTGTAATATTTAGCTCTTTGAAAAAGTGTTCTCAGATTAGAGGGGTCTGAGAGTTAGGCCTAGCTAGAGAGAAAACCATATTATTATTGTATAAATACTGTACTTTGTATTTTTTTCTTCTGAATTTTCCAATATTATCTTCCATGTTAACACAAATCCTTGATAGAAGCCAATCTCTTCGCCAATTTGTTTGCCTAAATTTAACCCTTTTTGTAAACCACTTTTCTTTCCTTTTTCCTTCCCCTCCTGAAGACCATTCAAAAATCCATTTTGTTCAAACCTTAAAAAAAAAATAAAGAAAATCCATTAAAAAATTAAAACAAAACATAAAAGTCCACTAAAAATCTCTTAAAAATAAATTATAAAGTTACAAGAAGGGTTTATCATTTTAATTCCAAGATATGTAATATCAATAAGCCAATATCATAACGAAATAAAAACAACGGGTGATAGCCAGCCCCAGGCGTATTATTCGCTCCCTAATTAGGCCACCCGTCCCTAGATAGCGACCGTTTTCGTTAGTCCGAGGCCACTTCTTTACATACAACAGTAGCCTAGTACTAGGCCTAGCCTAAACTTAACCAATTAGTGGCCTAGTCTAGGCCTACCTACCTTTCCTCGGCGCAGACAATTGAATCAAATATGTCAAAGACTTCCTCATGTGTTCCTTCCTTAACTTCGGCCATAATGATTGTGACAGTCAAGCTTTTTTTTTAATTGTTTATTAGGCCCTCCTCCTGCAGCTATTCTGTTCTGCAGCACTATTTCATAACGTCCTTCCCTCCAGGGTTGCCAGATAGTCGACAGGCTTCACGGCCAAACACACGCCATCTCACGGCCAAATTTGTTTTTAATATCGGCCAAAATTCGACCAGAATTTAATCCGATTAGAAGACAGTTATGTGGGTACATATTCATTTGAAATACTGCAAAAATTACAGGAAAATCAGGGGCCGTTCGTTTGAAATTGCATCAAAATAATATACACAGAACAATGTTAAACTTCTTTTAATTAATCTATCACCATAAAACACATGCCCAGCTACATCATAATATTAAATAGCCTAGGCCCTATGTTCTTT